GTTCTATAAGAAAAATATCGGAATTTGCTTCTATTCCTTCTTCTTTAATACATAATAATCCAAATGGACTTTTTCTTCCATTTTCTGGAACAATACCTTCTGGCATTTCACAAAATTGAAATACTTTTCCTGCATCAAAAGTTTGTTCAACAAGTTTATGATATAATGGAATAATTAAATTTGATGGAATTCCAAGTCTTTTAAATTGTTCTTGATGACTTTGCATAAAAAATACTGCTGCAGTTGTTATGTCTTGCATCAATTTTAATTCTTTATTCTTTCTTCCTTTTTATTTTTTTTTAGGGTTTTTTTTTCATTTCTAAGTAATAAGAATTAATTCATTCATGTATTATGTTAATTAATATTAATTAATGAAGTATTAAATGAATTGTTTTTGATAAGAAAGAGAATAAAAGATATGACTTGTTATTTATTTTGTAAGAGTTATATGATGGTAATACTTAAAAATATTTAAGAATAAAATATGAAGAAGATAATGAAGAGTTTAAAGATATTAAATAAATATTAAATAAAATATTTTGGTTTAAAATTTAAAACTTTTTAATAATAAAATGGAAGAGCAAGAAAAAAGAACAACAGAACCAATGCAAGAAGAAGAAGAAATAAAGAAAGAAGAAGCAATAGAAAAAAGAACAACAGAATCAATGCAAGAAGAAGAAATAAAGAAAAAAGAAGAAGAACTAAAGAAAAAAGAAAGAAATGAACATAGAAACTATCCACCATTATTAAAAATTTATCCAATTGAAAATTATCAAATAGATAAAAAAGAAAAATTAGATAAATTAAAACATCAAACATTTGGATATCAAATGGACCAACTTAAAATATCAGTTGAAAAGAATCATGTACCAAGAACATCAGTTTATGGAGTTATTTTAGTTCATAAAAATAATTTTCCACATTTATTAGTATTACAATCAAATTTATCAATGGATTTAAAAGATGAAATTCATCTTGTTGGAGGAAGATTAAAAATTGGAGAAGATGATCCTGTTGAAGGATTAAAAAGAAAATTAAGAAAAAAAATGTCAATGGAATATATTACACATTATGAAATAGGAGAATTACTTGGAACATTTTATAGAATAGAATATGATAAAAATTTATATCCATATATTCCAGTTCATGTAAGTCAAGTCAAAGAAATTATTAATATTTATATGATTCATCTTGTTGAAAAATGTGATTTTAAAATATTTGATACAGACAAATTAAGTTCAATTCCACTTTTTGCTTTACATAATAATTTTGAAAAATACAATATTACACTTTGTTCTATTCCAACTTTAGTTTCAAGGTATCTTATGATTTATGGTTAATAAAAAATAATTTAATATGAATTTGTAAAATTTGAAATTCTTTTCATTAAATAAAAAAAAAAGAAAAAAGAAAAGAAAAAGAACTTAAAGAAATTAATGAATGCACCTAATTTAAGAAGTGAAGGATTAACTCAAGAATCATTAAAAGTAACACAAAACTTTATAATAGGAGGATTAACACAACCACTTCCTGATTCATTTCAAAGTGTAGA